AAATTTAAGTTTTATGGCAGGTAAGAAGTTCAGTTTAAAATGTATTTATTGAGTAAATTAAGATTTAAAAAAGTAAAAAGAAAAAAGAAAGAGTAAACGCTAAAGAGTTGAAGCAAGCACTGGTTTTTTATGTAACATGCAAGTTTTTAATTTGACTCGATTGATGATATTGTTGCTTTCAGCCGGATAGATCAGATGAACTTGCAAGGATTGAAGCTGCTGGAGGCCAAGTCCTGTATTATAATGGAGCACGAGTTCAGGGAATTCTTGCTATGTCCCGCGCGATAGGTAATCTTCTGGTTCTACTCCTTTTGAATGGGGAATTTGAAGAATGGGGGTAAAGCTCTTAGCTTGGGACATGAACCATTAGGCATCGAGGACTGTAATGGCCGTCTCCTTTGAGAGGATTTGAGTTGCCCGTATGGCTGTTTCGTACTAGTGTTTTATATTGCTAACTGCATTAAATTGTTTTCCTTTTTATTAAGTTATTGGAGATTGAAGATTATAGTTGATAAACGAAATTGGAAGGCAGAGTAAATCAGTACATTTGTTAATGGCGCTTTAATTGGGATAAGTAAAGGGGGATGTATACAAGAGATGCGGTCTCCATGTCATTATTGGATTTCCCACGACATAAATATTGTCAAAATAAACTCATCAAATATATAGTAGCCTGTGGTCTTCTTATGATGGAATGCTGAAGTTGTCAGCTGCAGTTGTCAACTGGTGTTGGAATCCAAAATCCTGATTGGATATTTTGTTGTGAATTCGTTCCTGGTTTGGCTTTTACAGGGGGCGTGATGGAAACACCAAAATGTGCTTGGAACAGGTGTAAAGATGTCATATTGGTTCCAAATTGAGAAATAATTTTAAGAAGTAAAGTACTTGGTCCTGTCTTGAATTATTGGTCATGGCTAATTATGAAGGTGTTTTAGGAAACTAATAAAGAAATCTGAAGAAAATAGGTTATGGTGTCTGTGGAAGAGTTGGGGCTTGAAAGAGATCGTGTGCCCCACTGTTCCTACTTGTGGTGTCTCAGATAAGGGGTAATTTATCCATGATTTCTTTTTGAATTTGATTGCACCATACTTGCTATGATTAATGTATTTGATAGAATCTATAAAGATGCTTGAGAAGGCAATGCTTTCTAATGGCAAACATGTTCTAACTTATGTTCTCAATGGCAGGTATGAAACTGAGAGTATACAGACCTGGTATAAGAGTATCTATTCATTAATGGGCTGTTATCTATCTTGTCTACATGCTTTGATCTATGTGAAAATCAACAATCTATGCATACGTTAGCATGTCTTAGGTAGCTAAAAAGGCCGAATATTTCATCCTTGCTGTTGTCCTGCCTGTGTGTTTATTTCATGGACTGAAATTTGAATCTATTGTAGATAATTGGAACTGTGCACCTTATATTGCCTATTCTTGGGAGTTAGATCTATTTCAGTTTAGTTGCACGAGATCTGTTTCAGTTTAGTTGCATGAACTTTTTTTCTGAATGGTTTTAGCCGCTGACACATTCAACCGATTCAATAAGATATGCATACCATCTTTGTCATCTTGAAAGTAGCAATGTGCCATACATATATAATTGCACATGTGATCGAATGTATTTCATTTAATTCATAAAACTAAGCATCTTAGACATGCATATTTCTGTTCAAAAAAAAAAAAAAAGACATGCATATCCCTGTTAAAACAATCTTCTCTGACTACAGGACACTGTGTGAAGAAGACAGTTTGAATTAGCTTCTCTAAGGTGTTCTGCTTATAGAGTGCTGAATTCTGAAGATAATTTCAAATGTCATGGGTCATTTATTGTGTTATGTTTGATGTTTTTGTTTCTTCAATCATGAAATGAGGAGAAAATTGGTACTAAAGAAATAAGTGTTCCATTTATTTTGTACTAAACATTTAAGGGAGAGATGTTCATTCGTTTGTTCTTCCTGAGTGTTTATTGAAAGTGATTGTCTTCAGTTTACTATCATCTGAGGAAATTTCTGATTCTTAATGGCCTTTCAGTGCTAGCATTTAACATTGTTTCTTTTTTTTTTTAACATTTTTTTTTTTTTTTTTTTTTTGAATTAAAGTGAAATTTATATAATATTGGCTGTTAAACTTACTATTCTTGTTTCCTAAACAGGAGATGGGTATTTGAAGCCAGTTGTGACATGGGAGCCTGAGATAACATTCACTAAGAGAGAACTTGATGACGATTTCTTAATTCTTGCAAGTGATGGCTTGTGGGATGTTCTGTCAAGTGAATTGGCTTGTGGGGTGACACTTGACTGTCTTAGAGAAGGAAGCAATGTTGCTGCCACTGCATTTGACCTCAATGCTAGGCCTCGGGTAGTACATAAAGGGGCTGAAACACTGTACCCATCTCGAAGTTCTATGGCTGCTGCATTGCTCACCCGCCTTGCTTTGGGACGGAGAAGTTATGATAACATCAGTGTCATAGTTATCGACCTGAAGAGCAGCAGTTCACAAGAAGAGTTGAAGTAACCTGGCGATCCTTTGAAGCGTGAACCTCAGACCTGTCCCCCCTAAAGGCCAAAGGCATGATGCCCATAGCTGATAAAGTTGTTGAAATAACAAGAACATATCAGAAGTTCTCTTGTTGTCTTTCTGTTTTGTTTGTTCTATGAAACATCTGTACAACTAAGCTTGCAATGGACAGGCCTTTTTAGGTACTGGGTGAAAACAGTACTTCATTAAATAGACCGAAGAATATGGGAATCACCTAGTGCTAGTAATTTTTGACATAGAGTTTCAAGGGCTAAAATCAACTTTTAGCTCCTTACTTTACAAAATTGATATGTTTTAGCTCTTAACCTTATAATATTATACTTTTAGTTCATTATCTTATAAAATTGGTAGGTTTTAACCCCTCACCTTACAAAATTAATAGATTTTAGCCCATTACCTTATATTATGACACTTTTAGCCTTTTATTTGTACAAATTACAAAAAATAGCTCTTATTTAACGTTATGTTATAATGTTCTGTCAGTTCTGTTAACTATTGTCAGTTTTGTTAGTTGACTGTTAGTTCTGTTAGTTGACTGTTAGTATTTGTTAGTATTCCGTTAATGAAACTAACAAATAAAATTGAATTTAAATTTTATATTTTTTATAACGAAATGCGAACGGATGTTAACAGTCAACTAATAGAACTAATAGAACGTTATAACCTAATGTTAGGTGGGGGTTATTTTTTTTAATTCGTATTGTTGAGGGATTAAAAATATCATAATATAAGGTAAATGGTTAAAACTTACTAACTTGGTAAGGTGATGAGCTATAACTTACTAATTTTGTAAATAAAAGGTTAAAGCTACATATTATAAAGGAGGCTAAAACCTCTTAACTTTATAAGGTGAATGACTAAATGTTGGTTTTTGTTGAGTTTCAAGAGACTAGGTATAAATTTCACTTATCAAGGAGTTGGGGTGATTATGGTTCAACAGGATGGACTGTAAAACATTATATATATATATATATATATATACACTTGATATAACAATGTACATAAAGTTTTTTCGGTCTACCCTCATCCGCTAGGTATAAAATGACAAAAATATCCATAATAAATGAGGACATAAAGATTCATCATCCCTTACCGATATTTTTTAATTGTTGTCCACATGATGGATGGAATGGTAATACCTTGTTTCATAAGTAGCAATACAACTAAAAGCTATTGTATTTGATCC